TCTTTGTCTTGCGTTTTGAAAAATAGTTTTTTTCGGTTTTGCTATATAGTTAAATCACGGGCATCCCTAAGACCCGTATTATGGTCTTTTATTTTAGAAAAATAATTTTCGGTCTAGCACATTGCTAAAAATTAATTTACCTATTTTTTAACTTTCCTTAGAAAATAATTTTTAAAAATGTAAAAATAAATTTAAAAAAATAAAATAAAATTTAATTGTGAGAGAATTGGCAAATATTTTATTTTGTAAAAATAGAAATGCGCATTTTATATTTAATCTCCCCCTTTCCCCTCCCCCTTTCCCCTCTCCCTCCCCTCCTTCCAACCCCCCCCCCCCTTCAATTCTCTCCCTCTTCCCTCCAACTCCTACCTACCTCCCCCCGCTCTCTCAATATTTTTCACATAATATTATTTTATTTGCTTTATTGTTTAGCTGCTCAATTAGCCTAGTAAGCGCCAAAGGAAAATAAAAAAAAATTTTTCAATTGCCTTATAGGGAGAACAAAACCAATAAAAAATAATAATTTAATGGGAAATAAATGAGTGAAGGGGAAATAAAAGAAATAAATTTATTTATAGCTATTAAAAAATTTTTCTAATTACTTGGTAATTATACATATAATTATTTATGTATTTAATGGAAAAATTAGAAAAAATGGAAACAAAATTAATAATTTTTTTTTAATTTTCTATATTTAAAATTAATTATATTTAGAAAGTTTTTAATAAAATATTTAAAAAATGAGGAAATAAAATTTTTTAATTGGCTGAGATTGTGGACTGAGATTTGCGGACTGAGATTTGCGGACTGAAATTTGCGGACTGAAATTTGCGGACTGAGATTTGCGGACTGAGATTTGCGGACTGAGATTTGCGGACTGAGATTTGCGGACTGAAATTTGCGGACTGAGATTTGCGGACTGAGATTTGCGGACTGAAACTTGCAGACTTAGATTTGCGGACTGAGATTTGCGGACTGAAACTTGCAGACTTAGATTTGCGGACTGAGAGTTGCGGACATAACTGAAATATGTTTTCACAAGTTTTGCCCCGAGACATGATCAGATCTTCCTAGTCCACATCTCCGATATCCTCTCAAAATCAATGGATATACCCCAAATCCGCCATTATCCCTCAAGTCCACTGGGATTGAGATGGATATCGAGAATCAATCCTAATTCTACCATATCATGGGGAATGAAACGAGGTATAAGAAGAGAGACATATTATCACTTAGACGAAAAACTGACGAAAAAAAACTGACGACCAACAGAGCCTTCGCTGGAAAAACTGTTTTTGTGCTACTAAGGAGGGTAGGCCGGGCGTGGTCTTCTCTACACGATGGCCGTGCTTCACTGCGGTCGTGGTCGACCGTAGATATTGCCTCTTTCCGATTTGCCTCTTTCCGCCAGGCAAAATCTTCTTTCCGTGGATACGAACATAATAAAAATCAGTACATAAACCAGAAATCAGCTGTAATTAACTGTTGGCACCAAATAACCTTTTTAGAATTTTAAGAGTCGCCATTTTAAACACTTTTTGGTCATGGCGATATTTTATACATTTAAGCCTTGTCGAGATTTTAAGACATTTCAGCCGAGTCGATATTTTGTGCCATTTCAGCCTTGTCGATATTTTGTGACATTTCAGCCGTGTCGAGATTTTGAAATATTTTAACTGCCACGAGATTTTGAGAATTCGATATTTTGAGCGAGCACAGATTTTCTATTCAGCATATATGCTATATTTTTAAATTCGTTTTCGCCGAGCGTCGTGGCGGGCGCTTGTAGTCCAGTTTCTAGGAGGCAAAAGCACCAAATTGACGGGTGTGCACTGAACGAGTGTCTAGAGCAAGGGCCAGGTCAACAAGGGGCGCTAATGGGAACGTTTGTGCTCCTGGTTGTTTAAAGAGCGGGGCAACGGTTCAGGCCCGAAAGGGAACAGACAAAACCCGCCGCTTGGTCACAGTGTTCAGACAGCACTTGCGAGCAGTGCTTCGAAGCTCGTACCAAAATTCGTACTCGTACCTCGTACTCGTACTCGTACCTGGTACGAAGTACGAGTACGAGTACGAGCAAAAAAATTGGGCAGGTACGAAGTACGAGTACGAGTACGAGGCCAAAAAAAAGTGAAAAGTACGAGTACGAGGCCTAAGTACGAGCTCGTACTTCTCGTACTTGGAAGTTGAAAGAAATATATTTTGTTCCTTTCATTTTTCATTGTATGAGCGAGTGGCCGAATGGTGAAGGTGCTTGGATGCACCAAAGTCTATAATGATTTAATATTGGGTTCGTTTCCTATTCACTGGACAAAGATTTTTAATATTTTTCTCTTCATAAATAACTTTTTTAATTTTTTTAAAAATTATTGCATTTTTACTTGGATTAATTATGAGATTTTGACCATCTAAAATTCTTAATATTTTTTTCTTTGCACACTAAAAGTGAATTTTTTTCGCCTACGGCCTTCGGAAATTTTCAAAATTTTCGCCTGCGGCGCTGAAAAAATAAGAAAAATGGCTTATTGGCTTCCAAATACTAAAATTTTCGCCTTCGGCGATGAAAAATGAAAGAAATCTGGCTTCATGGCCTTCAAAATTTTTCAAAATTTTCGCCTGCGGCGCAAAAATAGAAGAAATATGACTTATGGACATCCAAGATTCTCAAAATTTTTGAAAAAAAGGATTTGAGATTAAGATGGATATAAGGAGATTAAAATGTGAAAAGTTCAGTGGAAAAGATAAAAAGTTCCATGTAAGAAGATGAAAATCGGATGAAAAAATGTAGGAACTCGGGTAGCACGACCCATCTTGGCGGAAATATTTCTCCTTGCACTCCAAAATGCTCAAAAATTTCGCCTGCGGCGCAGAAATTGGATGAAATTGGAGGATTTATAACTTCAAGGCCTTCCAAGATTCAAATATTATCACATACAACGCTTAAAATTTAAAACTAGATGCCCTGGGCTCCAAAAATCATAAAAATTTTCGATTTTTTGCTTTTTCCTCAAGTACGAGTAAGTACGAGGTACGAGTACGAGGTACGAGGCCTAAAATAGGGGTGGTACGAGGTACGAGTACGAGTACGAGCAAAAAAATGGGGGTGGTACGAGGTACGAGTACGAGTACGAGGCCAAAAAAAGAGGTGGTACGAAGTACGAGTACGAGTACGAGCAAATTTGAAATTTCGAAGCACTGCTTGCGAGCATGCCATTAAATGTTAATTGGATTTGCTTTTTGGAATTTTTTTTCAACACAAATTGTTGGTGGAACAAATTGTACTTGACTAATTTTAGGGAAAACAATAATTGTAAAAACTAAATTTTCTTCAAAATCCTTCCCATTTAAATGTATAAGACAGACATTGAAAGTTTCAGAAATTTCTTGTGAAAAATGCCCCTAAAAATCCATCTAAAAAAGTTTTTATTATTTATAAGCACTGAAAGAATCGTCCTTTTAAATAGACGTTGCAAGTCTGACAGTTGCAAGTTAGATAATTGTTGCAAGCTGTTGCAAGACGTTGACAAGCAAGAAAATCAAACATGCTCTACACGACTGTATAACTTTTATTTAAAAATTTTTGTCACATTTCGAAATGTTCCCTCGTTAGATTTTGTTTTAAATTTATTTTTGTGTTTTGCACTAGCGTTTCGCCAATGTTCACTGGCTTATTTTGTATAGTACCGTCGAGCTCTTAGGAACAACAACCACAAGGGTTGTCAAAAGACAACCACAAGGGTTGTCAAAATCGCATTAATTAATTGAAAATCAAAAGAAAATATTTTTATTTAAACATTAAGCAGAAATATAATATCCATTTTTTGGTGAAGAGTAAATTTTAAATAGTAAAGGAGAGAGAAACATAAAATATAATATGTATTATAAGCAGGGTGACCCTTTCCAAACTACTAAAATAGGGCGCAGTCACTCAAAAATGTGGCAAAAATAGGGCGAAATTGGTAAAAAAAAATAGGGCAAAAAATAGGGCATGATTTTAACAACTTAAAAATTAACTTAGGTATTTCAGATAAAAGGCAATATTCTGCATATTTTCACTAGTTTTAAATAAGTTGAGCAATAGTGATCAGTATTGATTCCAAACAATTAAAATTGGCAAAAATTTTTTCGAAAAATTTTTTGGGTAAAATTTTTACAAACATATTTAGGGGTTTTCAGTGCATATATGTGCATATTTGGCGTTTTTATGCATATTTTGGACCACCCTACTCTTAATAAGTCGGTATTCATTTTTCATCGCCGCAAGAAAAATTTTTGAAATTTTGGCTGGTCAAGAAGCCAGATTTCTTCCTTTTTCCTGCGCCGCAGGCGAAAATTTTAAGAATTTTGGAAGGTCAACGGTCAGATTTCTTCCTTTTTCTGTCAGTTTCGGTACGAAATGCTAACAATCGTAAACATTTTTCAAAATAGTAAAAATATGGCAAATGAAAAAATAGGGAAAAAATAGGGCGAAAAGGTCAAAAATAGGGCAAATGCCCTATAAATAGGGTAAAAGGGTCACCCTGATTATAAGTAGTCAAAGCTCATTATAAAATAACCCCAATCAGTTCAGAAAAAATTTGGGAGAGGGGCAGAAGGAGGAATCAAATATTTTGATTTTTAGCTCCTCTTTTTTAGAAAACTTGGCCTCGATTTTTCCCTTTACCCCGTTTCAGGGGGGAGTATCTTAATCAAGACATTCTCATTATAAATAGGGTTATCGTTGCCAGCTCGCTCGAACCGAAACTTGAAAGATCGAGCGAGCCGAGGCTTTTCAGCTCGAAAACGAACTGAAAAAACCAAACTCTGCAACAAACGTCGGCTCGAACCGTAAACGGGAACCTTAATTATAAACCACAAATTTTAGCCCGTAGGGTTATCTTTTTGAGGTTCGACTACACATTTCCATCTAGCAATTTTATTTACCCTTTATATAATATACCCTTTTTAATTAACTAAAATATAGTATTTTCCTTTTCTTGTGTTGAAGGTCATTCACTTCCAAATTAAGCTCCAGCTTTTTGCGCATTGATAACAACCTTTAAAAATTTTGAAAATTTTCTAAAAAAATTTTTTCAAAAATTTAAAACCTGTGCTCCAATTATCAGAATTTGCTCTTTCGAATAAAGCCCATCAGATGGCAACGGAACAGGCATAGTCAACTCTCTATAGCTAAATTCTTTTTCATAGCTAGGCGGTACTCCCTACAAAAATACAAAGAATTTTTTGGTGATTTTTAAGTTGAAGGAAGGCTAAGGACTTTGGGACCTCTTTTCCCGTAGCTACGTGCTCGGTTGCGGATATGGCCTTCATATTTATAGTCGCCGGATCTGAAGATATCAGGTATATGTGGATATTATCAGTATCTGTGAGCAGGTCCATAGACAGGAAAATTTTCGGTGGGGCCGGAGGTGGAATCATTTTCGGCGTCGAAAATGACACTCCATTTGCCTGCTGGACCCATAGCCAACAGTTAGTCCTGAATATTCAAAAACTCAAAGACCCAAAAATTGCTAAAAAGTTTTCAACCGTTTTTGATAAACCTAAAGAATTACAAGGCTTATTCAGTTAGTGGATTCTTTAGATTGACTAATTTAAAAATTTGGAAACGGGAACTTCAAAAAACACCATGCCACAATTATTTTAAAAAGGAGAATCCAAAAATTAAAGGAAAACAAACCGGCACAAAATCAGCAAGTTTCAACATCGAATTATCATTTAATGAGCCAAAATCTGGTGGAGTAATAGCCCTACGCACCATCAATTTTTCCGATTCAACAGCTTTCCTCGCCTCAAGTTTGGCAGCAGCCACAGCACGCTTTCGAGCCAATTTTGATTCTGTAACCGCTTGAATTAAAATCTCTGGACGCATACGAACACTTCTAAAAAATAAATTTTAAATTAAAAAGGGAAAGGATCCCCGGGGTTTTGAAAGATTCCGCTCACATAAGCAGTAAACCCAGCCAGACGGCTTTTTAATTTTAAAGTTTAGCTGGATTAAAGCCGGAGTTGCTAAGTTAGTGTGAATAATTACTCTCGCATCAAGGAGGTGCTGGGTTGGGAAGAATGTTGGGTCGAGGTTTCGGCTCGAAAAAAGTCCGGGTTTCACTCCCATCACATCAATGTACGCATGTTGAATCCAGCAATACAATTATGCTGGTCATAAGGATCTATATTGGGATCAGGGATAGAACGAGTTACCTGAAACCCGGACTTTTTTCGACCCGTAACTCAAACCGAAGAAAAATTCGAAGACCCGCCCGAATTTTTTCTTAACCCGCTTCTCCCTGATTGGCACTAAAACCCTTAAAATCCATAAATTCTTTTTTAAATTGCCATGAAGGAAAAGTGTAGAAAAATCAAGAAAAATTTAAAAAAACCCATAAGGAGGCATTGCTGCTTTAGCCTTTTCCTCAGCCGCTCGCTGTTCCTGCAAAATTTTTGATGTCGTAACAGTTCGAATAAGATGATCAGGCTGCATTCGGAAGCTTTGTTGTTTGTAGAGAGGCTGTGGAGATTGTTGAAAGTTATTATAAAATTGATATCTATGTGCCATTTTGTGCCCTATTTAAATTAAAAATTGAAAAAAAAATTGGAAAAAAATTTCTGGGATCAGTAAAAGTAAAAATAAGAAGTAAAATCATTAGACTCTAAATCCACACAAATTCAAATTAAAAAATAGCGCCCAAACAATCCTTGTTGACGAAATGCAATAATTTTCTCAATGTGACCAAATAATTTTAGATGTTTTGAAAACTTCTCGTTCGTTAAATCATTTGGTCTAAAATTTTTTTGTAACATTTTTGTTCTTTGTTAATGGAGTTTATTTTTCACTTACGCATTTTCGATTTATTTTGTTTCTAGTTTATTTTCTTTGAGTCATTCACCCCAATATAAAATTGTGCGTAAACTGGTCAAGAGCCTTCAATTTTTTTTACTTTATTATTTCAGTATTTTCATAAAACTTTATTGACGTTAAAAACAATGACTGTTGAAACTGATCTGGCTAAGCGAGTTGGCGAACTTAATTTGGAAAAACGAGTGGATGAAGTAACGGAGAAAATGGACAAGAAACTTTCCTCTGACTCGATGAATGGCGAGAGTTTTGACAAGCGTGTTCGACAACTGCGTGGTCCGATTGTTATTGGGCGTGCTCAACATGGAATTGTTAAATGGTTCAGTGTAGCCAAAGGTTCGTTTGTTTACGTTTTGCATGAGTATCGAGAAGAGAGATTGGGCTGGATTCCGTTGCTTAGTTCCTGGTCCTACTTTAACTTGATTATTTTTCTGGACTTCCGTCATAAGAGCACGACCCAGGTCAGCGGTCTGGGGAATTTGGTCAGCTCAATTTCCAATCTATTTTCTGAGTCCTAGTTGGGATCCTTTTCCGTATATGTTTCGGAGCTTGTATACGCCTATTTAGGTTCCGTGTCCGAGTTTCTTGTTTAAAAATGTCTTTCGGACTCATAAGCTTCTAGAGTTTTTAAAATTTCTTAACTCCTTTTACCAAGACGGAATCTTGGTACAAACAAATCCACTGACTCTGTTTTATTCCCGATTAAACAAATTTTCTCAAAGGTCCTCGTTTACCTTCTCAATCTAGTTTATGTTTCTTAACTCTCACAATTTAAGGGTATGGGTTTATTCGTGTTGATGGTTCGGAAAAGGACTGCTTTGTTCACGCCTCCGCCATTCTTCGTACAGTTAATGTGCCTCTTGCTCTGATTGAGAATCAACAGGTTTACTTTAACTTCACAAATATTTTTATTTTTCTTCCGATTTTAGGTGGAGTTTGATATAATTGAGGGACTGAAAGGCCCTGAAGCTGTTTGCGTTTCTGGCCCAGGTGGTGTTCGTGTTGGAAAGACTATTGGTTATATGTATAAAGGTACTTTCTACCATACATATCCGCGTTTCCGCCAACCACCAATGTTGCCTGTTCGTTATCCTGCTGGACAACGCCACAACAACACTGTAGAGCACAAACAAAATAGCAATATGGGGAAGAAGGTGGATGCTGGTGGTGAGAAGAATGGGAACCGTCAAAAGGCTATTGAAGGTGAAGGGAAGGCGGTCGTTCATGATGAAAAGACTACTGAAGGAAAAACGGTTTAATTTTTTATAATTTTTACTTTGTGAAGTTCACTGGGGTTTCTCGGGGGACTGTTTGGTAGTTTTAAGCTTTGGAGTTTAATTTTCATTTTTTCTATATTTTCCCCTTTTTTATCTTTGACAATTTTCTAAATCAAAAGGGATTAATTTTTGAAATTATTCCAATTGTTCGCCTTTCGAATTTGTAGCATTTCCTTGTTCCATAAGTCCATTCTTTTGAGCCTAGTTTTCATGAAGAAATTTGAAATTGTTGATCTATTCTATACTATAGAATGAAAATGTTGATACTCTGTCCATAATGTTCAGAATGAATACTTTTGATTGATTTAGTTGTCACAACTAACAATAGGCAAGGGAAAATTAAAGAAATGAAAATGAGGCCCCTAAAGATCGAAATTTCTTTTTTCCCATTTCGGAGGGGGGGGGGAGTAAACTGATACCTTTTTGGTGACAAAATTTGTGTTGATTTGAATTTCCCTTTCCCACTTTTTCTTCTTTTCCCTTAATAAAAAATTCAAATTTAATTTTAGCGTCCCAACAAGAAGCGTTTCCATCGTCGTTACTATCGTCATCCAGTCGCAGACAAATCCAAGAGCGCCACTAATACCACCACCAAGGGAGAGGACGAGAAGAAGGAGGTTGTCGGTGACGCAAAGAAAGATGAAGGGGGGCAAGGAACGAAGGAGGAGCCAACAACTGTTAATACGACGTCCACTGCTACTTCTCCTCAGAAATGAAATTCTTTTTTGAAGGAAAATAAAATTCTGATAAATTTGTTAAGATTTGATAGAGTTTTTCAATGTGACACTTTACACGTAAATATATAAATTTAAATAAAAAATAAAGAGAAAAAAATTGTTGATTGATTTTTGATTTGAATGTTGTGACTTATAGTGGGTTTTTTTTGGCTGGACCGATTTCGACAAATGAGGTGTCATTCGAAAGAGCTTCGAAAACTGAGTCGAACTAGATATGGGGGAAGTCGATCCGACAATCAGGGGCCGAGTTACAGACCCCTGAAGTTTGAAAAAGAGAAGGGGGGAGTAAGCTCAAATTGGGTTGAAAAATTCGAAAATGCAAATAATAGCTCATTCGACTCAGCTCGTCGAGCTGAGTCGAATGACACCAAAATCAGCTCGATATCTTGATTTCGAGCCGAGATAAACAGGTTCAAAATGGTCAACATAAACCTATGGAGCGTCGGCGAGGCGCTTGTGCAAAACCCCGCGCTTCGCGCGGGGTTTTGCGGCACGCGCCTCGCGGGGAGTCTACGGGCGCTGGGTCTGGGCTCGTAACATAAACCTATTCCTATCTCCCTTGTTCTGGACGTACTTCGGACCTCCGTAGCAGCAAAAACCTCCACATAGACCATAGGTAAGGAGCTAAAACAAACGATCATAACTTTGTCCAATCAAGTCGGATTTCGGTGATTTTGGTGTCATTCGACTCAGCTCGACGAGCTGAGTCGAATGAGCTATTATTTGCATTTTCGAATTTTTCAACCCAATTTGAGCTTACTCCCCCCTTCTCTTTTTCAAACTTCAGGGGTCTGTAACTCGGCCCCTGATTGTCGGACCGACTTCCCCCATATCTAGTTCGACTCAGTTTTCGAAGCTCTTTCGAATGACACCTCATTTGTCGAAATCGGTCCAGCCAAAAAAAACCCACTATAAGTCACAATACCCTTTGATTTTTTTGTTAACTTCCCCCAAGAACTAGTTCCAGAACTAGTTCCAAAGCTAGTTCCAGACATTTACTAGTTCCGTAGTTCTAGTTCCGGAACTGGAACTTTGCCCATCACTGGTTCAATAGGAACATCATCTACATTAATTCCTGTACAATTATAGACTATATCAAATTCTCTACGATTCCACAAAATATATTCCATTATATAAATTTTTTTGAAAATGATACTAAATTGAAGTATTTCTTTAGTCGAACCACACTATAAAATAAACATTCGGGATGGAAAAAGCACCCCCAGCCCTGATCCCTAGTACACAGAAAACATGGTAAACCTTAAATTGAGGTCTAGATTGAGGTCTAGATTTGGATCCGAAAAAGCCAGAAATTTTAGCAGTGTGGTTAGTGGTGTGTGTAAGCGAGGTTATTCGATTTCCGAAAAAGAATATCTTTGATAAACTTTAAAAGTTTAGATGTTCAAATGCTTTTTAAAAATTATAAAAACAACACAAGTTGACAAAGACATACATTTTTAAAAGATATAAAATTTTTAATTTAAAAAAATTTCAACACTTTGGAGAATAAAAATGACTACATTGAAGTTGTTAAAAATATAGAGAAAATATGTGATTTTGTTATTTACAAGTTAAAGTGTTCTTTAGATAATCGGGATATAATTAATTTAATTAAAACAATAATACTTTCATATAGAGTTGGAGAGGAACAATTAACTGATTTTAGAGAGGAAAAGGAAAGGATTGAATTAGAGGGGAAATTTACCAAATTTTCTTTGATCAGATTGAGTGGGGTGATAATACTTTAGATTTCGTTAGATAGTATAGGTATTAGATTTGCAAAAGTCTAAATTTTGATAATTGACTGCGGTAGAACAGGTTTCCCCTATAATAATGACTGTAAAAGGCATTCGAATTTCCTTGCCTATTCTCAGAATCGGATTCCTTTGTTGGTTCTCATTCTATTAATTCATTGTAATTGTCAATTTTTTAAATTTTAGTCACTCGCCTTCTAGGTAAAGACGGTTCACATTCAAAAATCTTTGGAAATATTTGGATATAGATGATCAAGTGTGTGAAAGATACCGTATTTTCTTGAATAACTACTTTGTAATTATTACGACCGCCCGCTAAGGAGGGAACTGATCAAACAAGTGAATTCTGCGAACAAAGGAATGATGACACAAAATAAATTAATTAAATTCAAATAATTTGCCCAAAATTTTATTTTTTTACTCATTTGTCAGGGCAAAAACCGGAACGTCCCACATCAGTCCCGCCATTTCAGTCCTGCCATTTCAGTCCCAGCCGTTTCAGTCCCGCCGTTTCAGTCCCCCCTATATGGGGACATTTCAGTCCCCGTGTAAAAAAATAAATAAAACAACTTTGAAAATAAAAATTGAATAAAAAATAATCATTTTATCACACTAAGAATATCTTAAAAGCTAGCTGAGTCTTAATTCTAGGCTTTCCTTGGGGTTTTTCTGGCTTGGGGTGAAGTTTTGGTCTCGATTTTTTTCTTCAGGGAACGAAATTTTTTTAAAAATGAGTCAAATAACTCATTCTCCGACAACCGTCCAAATCTTTGGATATCCCCGATACCCCCAGGCAGAAACAGATAAAATTTAAAAACCGACTTTAAAAATTTATCAAAAAAATAACTAAAAAGTCAATGTCTCGTTTCACTCATTAGATTTGTGGCCCTAAAGAGGGCCGTTTGGGTTAAGGTTGTTGTTGACGATATCCCGTCACCGCCTGTTCCTTTCGATGTGCTTGGCAAGCTTGACATGCAAAGCACCAGCGGCAACTCCTAGAAATCTTAAAAATATAAAAAAATTTCAAAAAAAATTTAGTTGGAAAATTTCAAAATTTAAAAATTATTATGAGAAAAACCTCGTCGATTGGAGTAGCCTGCTGATGTCTTCCGAGGCCGAGTAGCAAGGACGTAGCCAGGATTTCCTGGGTTATAGCTAGAGACCGGCAAAATTGTGTTTGCGGGACCCCGCATGCGGGATTTTTTTTAAAAATCTTTGCGGGACGGGATCCCGCGGGAAAAACCCCGCAAAATCCCGCATCCCGCAAAATCCCGCAAATCGAAAAAAGTGCGGGATTGCGGGAGCGGGACCCCGCAAAATCCCGCGCGGGATCCCGTCCCGCGCCGGTCTCTAGTTATAGCTCCCCCTTGAAATGGGGAAAATAAAAAAATTTCAAAAAAGCTAAAAAACTAAAAAATAAACCATGTGTCTGTAGTAGAAATCTCTCCATTCAGCATAGAATTCTCGCAGTCTGGAGTTTTTAAGAAAATTTAAGCATTTTAAAAAATTTAAAAAAATTCCACATTTTCCATAAAAATTATTTTTTTCGTTACTAATTGTTGTTGGTTATTGCTAATTGTTGTGGTAGACCATTTAGAAGACCTAGAAGATGTTTAAAACAAAAAAATAAACAATAACAATCATTGGTACAACAATAAAAATCATTGGGGACTGAAATGTCCCGATATAGTGGGGACTGAAACGGCGGGACTGAAACGGCTGGGACTGAAATGGCACGGGACTGAAATGGCAGGACTGAAATGGCGGGACTGAAATGGCGGGACTGATGTGTCCCCTACCGGCAAAAACAATTTCTGACCTCTAAAATTTAATTTAAATAAATACTTTTTTTTTGAAAAATCTCTTTATTGTATAGGTGGCAACAGGGATGTGCGTCATGGCGTTTTGGCGTGACGTTTTGGCGTTTTGGCGTGATTTTTGGCCGATTTTGGCGTGCTGGCGTTTGGCGTGATTTTCAGTTTTTGGCGCGCCAAAACGCCAAAATTATACACCCTTAATGATGGGAATTTTCCAAATAAATGGGGGAAGTGTTTTCAAAAAATAAAAATTTCTTGCTAGAGCCTTCCAAAGTTTTAAAAATTTTCGCCTGCGGCGCATATTAAAAAGGGAAGCAAACTGCATTATCAGCCTTCCAAAAATCTCGAATTTTTCGCCCGCGGCGCTAATAGAAAGATGCTTTGATCTAATTACCATTATCATGCTTTGGTACGGATCTGGAACCAAGAAAGTTTAGGGTCGGTATTAGCTAATGTCCTCCTTAATCCTTTCTACATCTCTTAATTGGAGGTCAAAGAGGATAGCAGGACATCTAAACCCTTCGATATCCTACAATTCTGGTCCTGTGATTTACAAAAGTAGGATTTCTGATTCTTGGTCTTAATAAATTTCCATAATTTTTGGTATAGCCGCTAAAAAAGGATGAATCCTGGCTTCTGGGAATCATGAAAATTCAAAAATTTTCGCCTGCGGCGCTAAAAAGAGATGAACACTGGTTTTTTGGGTCTTGAAGGACTAAAATTTTTGGCGTTTTGGCGTTTGGCGTTTTGGCGTCGTTTTTGGCCGATTTTGGCGTTCTGGCGTTTGGCGTGATTTGGAAATTTGAAAAATTGGCGTTTGGCGCGCACGCGAAAATTTTGGCGCACATCCCTGGGTGGCAACAATTACATGCTACATGGGATAATTAAAAAGGGTAATTATTTTCGCAATATATCTTTAGGGAGATAAAAAAGTAGCATACGTCTGAACATAATTTATTCATTCAAAACTTTGTTTCAAAAATATTTTAAAATACGTCACTTTGGGATAGATTAAAAAATAAACGGAATTTTATCAAGCAAATCACATTTTTCGGTTCCCTGATACACATCATACATTTAGGGCAGGTCCAACAATATTTGAAACTTGATTTAAATTTTTCTTTAATAAACTAAGAAATTTTCCAAGTAAAATTTTTGTGTCAGTTCGAACAGTTTTGTTTAATGTTAAGTAAATTACTGGTGGGAATCCTAAAAATTTTATTAAAAATATTTACCGTATTTTTCCCAATAGAAGCGCATGCGCTTCTATTTTTCAACCTCCTCGTAGACTGCGCTTCTATTGGGAAAAATACGGTAAATTTGTTTTTTAATCAGTGTGACCCTTTCCAAATCACTAAAAGGAGCATGTAGAAAAAGGGGGGGAAGGGGAGAACCTCGAAGATGAGGTAAAAGGGTCACCCTGTTTTTAATAACAAAATTAATTTTTGATTAACATACCATGGATATGTAACCTTAAAAATTGAACAAAATTATATAAAATTAAATGTTTATTAGATTTACCAAGA